CCAATTCTGTTTAACATTTCATGATAGGAATACTATGTTGTAATACAAAATCCTATCCTTCTTACTTTAAATAAGTCTTATATACTTAGAACATATCATATTGAGTCCTGACCCAAGAAAGAAAGGAGCTCACCTCCTTCAAAGATTGCTTAAGTCATTTTCCTTTGTAAGTGGCAAACTTCTACCTAAGACCAAGGAAGGAATTTCATAGATTCTTACAGCTGGACAGGACTTCAGAAGTCCAAACTGTATCTACAGCATAAATATCCTCTATAGCTAGAGTTCCTAACTTAGGTACCATATTGTTGGTCTGCAGTTATATTTCAAGTGGTCTATGAACTTTGGGGAAAATTACATCTTTATTTTCCCTAGCCTTTGGTTCCATTTGTAGTTTTGTGTATTTTATTTTATGCATTTAAACCATTATTCAGAGAAGGGGTCCATAACCTTTATCAGAGTGTCAAAGGGACCCATGACACACAAAAAGGTTAAGAACTTCTGTTCTACGGTGACCGTGACATGCAGTTTCTGCTTTGAACACTCCTATGTTTTCTTAAAGCATGAAAAGGCTCCACTCAATTTCAGTAATCTCCTGGTAACATTGTGTAACCTAAATTCACCACTTGCCATGACTGAAAAAAATATAGATGCTCTGTATTTACATGAACATTTCTCCATAATTGTTCAGCACCACCCAAAAAAGAACAGTTCCTTCATTCTTCTTCTGCTTGTACCATCTCCAGATTGATGTGCTAGAAAAAGGTTATCATCTGAAATAATAGTAGAAAGACAAAATGCCCCTGAACTTGCTTGCCATCTAATGATCACACGAAGCTTTCTCAAGGCAGATTTTGTCCTTGGGCAAAAGATATTTTTTTTTCCTTAAGATTGTTTTAAGTATTCAAAGGAAAAATTTTAGAGGTATTTGTAAAAAAACATACAAAAAAAGAAAGAAAGAAACAAACTGCATATTGATCTCAGGGAGAGAATATAAAGGTCACTGAATATAAAATTATTTTCTGAATGTGTATTTTTAACTTAATGTACTATTTTGTAAAGTGGAATAAAGTCATAAACATGAATATGGAATTCTACTTTGTCAGTCTATATTATCCTCTTCTCTTTGCATGCAAACCATTAATTAGAACTTCATATGATGAAAAAAAAATACATAGCTCTGGGAAGCGAGTCTGAATTTTCATTCATTACATTTCTTTTTCTCCTTTACCACACCAGAAGCTTCATGGCATGGTGACAATTATTAGTTCTCAATGGCTAATCCAGTGGAATACAAGTTCTGGTAGGTTCTACAGAGCTGGGGGGGCAGAGTTTCTAGTATGGGCCATGAGAAAGACTATATTATTCTGTCATCAGAGAAGCATCTTAGCTAAGCGTGGAAAGTCACATCACCAGAAGGATGGTCACCAAATAAATTATTTTGGACACAGGAACTCATAAAGTTCTAATTCCTGAGTCATGGAAGTGTTGCAATCTGTATTAGTGAAAGAAGTACTGACCCTGAAGAAATCATGGATCTTTTGAAACCTTTTTTTCTTGTTCATTCTACATTGATCAACTGTCCCATATCACATAGCTAAGTTAACAAGCATTTGCTATGGGCTAGACATTATGCTGAGTGCTGGGGATATAAAGAAAGGCAAAAAACAGTTCCTGCCCTTAAGAGGCTCACTTTCTAAGGGAGAAGACAATATGCAAACAAATATGTACATGCAAAATAAATACAAGGTAAATCGATGGTAATCTCAGAAAGAAGGAACTACCATTGAAAGGCAACAGGAAAGACATCTTGCTGAATATAGGATTTGTGCTAATACTTGAATAAAGCTAGGAGACAGAAATGAAGAGGGAAGGAATCCCAGATGTAGAGACTATCAGTATAAAGGCTTGGAGTTGGGAGACAGAGTGTTGGACAAGATACAATAATGAGGACAATGTCACTGGATTTTACAGTATGTGGCAGGGAGTAAAGTATAAGAAGAACAGAGGGGTAAGAAAGTGCTAGGTTGTGAAGAGTTTTAAGAGGTAAACAAGAGGTTTAACATTTATTCCTGGAGGTAATAGTGAGCCAGTACAGCTTATGGAGTAGGAAGATGACATAGTCAGATGTGCACTTTAATATTAGCAACTAAGTTGTAGATGGAGTTGTAGAGAGAGACTTGAGGCAGAGAGACCAATGAAACATCTATTATCATAGTCCAGGTGAGAGAAAGGTATGTGTCCAAGATGTTGCAAAGGTAAAATCAGAAGGACTTGGTGACAGATTGGATATTGGGTTTTGGGGAGAGGGCAGATAATTGATATTGAGGAGATAATGCTTATATGTAGATTTCAAGTCTGGATAACTACAAGGATGGTGGTACCCTTGAATAGTAATTAAAAAATTCAGAAGAGAGGAAAATTTGGGGGAAAAGATAATGAGTTCAGTTTGGAGCATGTTTAGCTTAAGATATCTATAGGGTGCTCCATTTAAGGTGTCAAATGAGCAATAGAGATATTGGGCTAGAAGTCAGGAGGGAAGATAGTTCTTATAAGTAGATCTGAGAATCATCAACATAGAAATGATGAATGAATCCAAACTTTTCTATTCTCTAATTATTTTTTACTGCTGTAGGCCATAAATTCTGCCATTTCCTCCCTTTTATCTTCTTTCAAGAGTCAAAATTGTAGAGATCATCAAGTGAGATAATACAGAAGGAAAAGAAAAGAAGGGTCAGGACAAACCCTGGGAATTAGCATGAGAAACACTGATAGAGGTTCTACAAAGGAGACTGAGGAGCAGTCACATACTTAGGAGGAAAACCAGAAGAGAGTAGAGTCATAAAAGACTCCTCTAGAGTGGGTAAAGTCTCAAGGAGAAAAGGGTGATTGAGAATGTCCAAGACTACAGGAAGGACAAGTAGAACGTGAATTGAAAGGCCATTGGATTTGACAATTAAAAATCATTTGTACCTTTGGAGAGAGTAGTTTCAGTTAAATAAAATGCTTAGCAGCCATAATGTAGACAGGAGAAACTTCTTAAAAAATTTCATTTTATTGCCTTGTTCATCTTGCTCATCTCTTCCTTCTTCTGTTGTACCCCACTCTTAGAAGCACCAGATCCTGTGGGAGCTATTGAACAGTATTGCCCTATGATAGAAATTGCCCTGCTTCTCTAATCATGGGGTCCAATCCTACTCCTTGCCCTCTGCATAATAATTTCCTTTTTCATTTACTATGGAATCTCCTCTCAGAATTTAGATTTTCCCACCTTGGGTGCCATTTGCCCCCTACAAGCTCCAATTGGCTTTCTCCTGAGACAGAATTTTGTCCATGAAGGCACAGCACACTATTAGAGCTAGTAGTATCTAATTAGTATTGCTGAATTAGTAGTCAAATCCCTACAGATTATGCCCATGAAATTACCCATACCTCCCATTAAAGATTTTATTTCTTCACCATGGATATGTTCTTCATTGGGATTCCCCTTCCATTACTGAATCAAAATTTTCCCCTTTCTTTATCTTTGTTTTAATCCCTCCCCTTGTCACCTCACCCATTTTCCTGTAGCCCCTCTTCTTGCTGAGAAAGTACAGGATTTATTTTCTCTTCATTGTTTACCATTCAATTGACACATTCCTCTGTCATCTTCTCTACTACCTTTTAATGCCACCTCTCATTCTGCAACCTAGTCCAAAAAAATAAATGACTGTAGAGGTGGTGGGTTATGGGGTTTAGTCCATCATATTTCAGCCCTATTAATAACACAAAGGGAAAGAATTGTAAACAATTTTTATCATTTAATACTGTAAAATTGATGTGATGGAGATATATCATGGATACATCATCAAATCTTAGGCTTAGAACACAGGCTCTAGGGATTTATGAATTTTTACTCACTGTAATACTTCAATTCTTGGTAAGTTTCTAGTAATAACTGCTTAGTATTACTGAATTTGTCTAAAGGGGTAAACAGAAGAAAACATGAAGGAACAATCTGAATTATTTATCAGTAAGTCAATCAATGCTTTGTTTCTTCAAAGGGAGGAAAATGACCTCTTATAAGATTTGAGAATAATAATATGGAAGATGAAATGGCATAATATATTTAAGAATTTGGGGTTATTACCTACTGATGCGACGATAAAATAAATTTCTTGAATTTTCATAATCCCAAAGAGACAGAGAAGACCAACCTTCTGATGAACATGTAAGGGTCTCTAAGGATGATGATGCTTCTTTAAGAGCCATACACACACAAATACACACATATACACATGCACACATGCATGCACACATGAGCACACGCACACACATGTGCACACACATGAATGTATCAACACACACGTCAATGTATGTCCACATACATGTGCACACATAGCATTACATGTATGTTGTGTGGTGTGTGTCGTGTATGTGTGAATACATACACATATGCATGTGACCATACATGTACATATATAAATACAACATGTAAATATACACCTATATGCACATGCATGTCCACATATGTGTATATATGCACATACATATCAATGTGCATTTTTATATGTATACATACATATATTTCAAATGTTTGATCTCTGTTTGTTAAATTTCTTCTTTCTAAATAGAATATCTAACATGGTCAATCCCCAAAGTGGAAAGATATTTAAACAGAACCACAATTAACTGGATTAGTTCAAAAAACTCATGTAAAGAATGTATCCTACACCATATCCTAGGACAAATTTATTTTACTTTCATGTATCTTGATCTTAAAATATCTGCTTACAGGATTCTCAGGTTGTGATTACCTGCCAAAGATGAGAATTTAACAAGGGAGATAAATGATGTTTCCTAAATACAATCTCCATATCCTTACTGCCAAGCATCCTTCATTTACCATTCAGCCACTATGACATTCATATGCAGCCTGCCCCGCCTCACTGGGCTGTCTGTGTGGACAGAGAGAGACCTAATTGTTCATCATCAGAGTAGTAAGTAGGAGACTCCAAAAAAGCTGACTTTAATTAATTAAAAACTTTATTTTTTTTCCATACAATTCACAGTTTATACATGGCAAGAGGTGTATCTCACCATATGAACTTTCAGAACACAGTTACTGAGGAAATGGGTGTAGCTTTCTTTCTAAAAGCGCCTGGCCTCCTAAAAAATTTGTGTTAGATTTCCTAAATTTAAAACAGTACCCTCAGCAAGTTAACTAGATATTTACACTTCTAGCTTAAATCTTTATTTTCGAAAAACAGGCATTTGTAACATCAATATTTTTTAAAGACAGCCTCATTGGACACAATCCAATACATTTTTTTCCAATTTTATTTTAGGCAATCATGTTGTTTCAACTTATTTTTATCTACAGTAGGCTTAAATAAGAAAATAAAGGAAAAAATTAGTAATCTACTGGGTACCTTTGTAGCATTTCTTCTGCATCTTAGAAATATCCACAAATCTAGAGGATACAAAAGTAACTAAAAAAGGTTTTACTTCTGAATACGAGCCTTTCCTATCTAAAAAGAGCTATCAGTATTTAAATTGTGCTATAACAGCTTTCTCTTTCTTATGGCAGGGATGAATTATGCCTACAATCTACATTTTCAATGTGCAAAGTCACAGTGATACCAGTTTCAACTTCTGCTCTCCTCTCAGTCACAGCTCCGGAGGAAGAAACCACTGGAGGGTAGAACGTTTGTGCACCCCTAGGGCAGCTATATGGGGCAGGGGTAGGGCCTTGAGATTACAACCCTTTCAAACATCAAAGAAAAAATGCTAGTGGTAAACTTTATTAGCAAATGCTCCAAAAACACATTTTTGACTTTTTTTTTGCCATTTTGGTTAAGCAAAACCAATGAATTAAGATCATCTTAAATAAAATAAAGTATTGAGTGCTTTCATCTGTCAGATAATTTATTACATGTGGATTATCTCCCCTTTTTAGGTACACTTGATGATAAATGGAATCATTTCTGAAAACTTCCACAAAAATGAAACCTGCCAAGGAACTTGACAATTCCATAAGCCGGACTATAATTACATAGGATTGTTTTACAGTGGGGCCTGAAGAAGAGAACTAATTGTAGGGGACATTTGTCCATCTCTTTTAAATGTAGTACCTTTAAAACTAGGGTTTCTGAGCATTGTTCCAATGTCCATCTAATTTGTTCACTGTCCATTCCTTCGTCAGGTATCCTCACTTCAATTATTTTCACACACTGTTTCCAGGAATGTAGAGTATCCATGCACGGAGAACTGGGGGCATGGGGAGCAGGGCAGCAGGTCAGGGGATGGGGTCATGGGGCAGAAAAATCACATAACAGCTAGAGAGGTTCTGTTTCTTCATAAGATAAGGCACTGACAGAAATTTCTTAGGTAAAAGGCTGCATAAGAATTTCTTGCCATTTACAAAAAAAATGTTGTCATCCATAAATGGTCCATGTCTAGGCTCAGTTAGGTAGACCCTGAAAATTTAAGGACTTATCCCTCAAAGCTACATAATGAGAATAAACAATTAGAATTCATTCTTAGGCCTTATGGCACATTAGGAAAAAAAAATAAGGAAAAGAAAAAAAAAAACAGTCTGGGCACAGAAAGGCATCAGACATTGCTTGTTCCACTACCTATCAAAGATAGTAGTGCTATTCAACAAGCATCTCCAAAAGTAAAGTGCTGGCTCAGAATCCCAATTTCTGTTGATGGTAGATGACTATGATGGGCATTTGTGTTTTTTTTTTCTTTTGAGCTCATGCACACTTTAAAAATGCTAACAGCATCAGTTATAAAGAGCATACCAAAGTCCTCAGCCATGGTTAAGACCAAGGCTTTCCAAAGAACCAGTATCCCAATCATGGATTACTTAATGTTCTCAATGACAGCAATTTCTTCACCTGGGCAATGAGGCGTTAAACCATTCAGATAAATACTGTCAGTCTTCATTAGTGGAGGCAGGATGTCCTTCTCACTGGTCAGGTGGTTAACTGACAGGGTTCTTTTGCATGGGGTCAGCTCTTGATTATGGTTCACTGCCAATTCTGCTGAGAGCTTCCTTTTAATGGAGGTGGCCCGCTGAAACTTGTCATAAATCTCTACACTCAGGCGCCTTCGGGTCTCCTTGAACTCAGCTGTGACGTTGGCGGTCCATTCTGCAGCGTGGGCTCGGAACTCTCCCACCTATAACAAATACACAAATATAGAAAAGTACAACATTAGCCTCTTGAAGTGTTTTCTTAAAAATGAGATTAAACGATGAGCGTTGTGGGATTAGAATCCATACTTATTCCATAGCCTAATTATGTGACTGGATGTTTTACAGTATAGCTAGCTACACTAAAAAGTGGTTTATAAATTTATTCCACATAAATCAAATCATGTTTTTCAGGATACTAGAGAAACCTGCAAAGAAATCTTATGAGGATTATAAAAAAGAAAAATGACCTCTTATTTTATATTTTATGACTCTATTTTCATGTTACATCCATACATAAAATCAGTTGCTGAGTCTTATGTTGTGTTCACAACATCTCTCATATTTGACCATTCTCTTAATCCAAATACAACATTCTTCACTCTGTATCATCTTCTTTTTCAATTTTTTTTATTCTTAAAAGTCAAATAGTAAATTAACTCTTAAGTAATTTCATCTTAAGTAGATAAAACATTAGTGGTAGCAAATGTTAAGTCACTGTTTTTAGATCAAAATTTTATAAAGTTATTGGACAGCATAATCCTTGAATTGTTAGTGTGTAATGATCTCAAATGATAGATGACATGTTTCTATATTAGCTTCAGTTTTATTTAAAAAATTTAGAAATATGTCTGAAGGTGCCTATGTGTAAAGCAATTAGGATCAATGCAGCTTAGAAATAAAGCACTTTAAAATCTTTAAGGTGGTTTACTAAACTAGTGCAGTTTTGTGGCATAGGCCGACAGTTTCAAAAGCAAATTAGCTTGATCTAGATGAACACACACACACACCAACACAGAATTTTTAAGCCAAACACATTTCTGTCTCATTTTAATTCATCCCCTTCCCAGATTAAAAGATTTACTGCACAGAAGTAACATTAACAGGTACTGCTTCCAGAATTCATAAACACATAAATATGCAAAAGATAATTTATTATGTGATACTTTTATTTCTATAGTTCACTTTTCTCAATGTGAGAAGATTGAAAAGAACAAGAAGAAAAAAAGGAAAAAGGCCAGATTTCTTCTTTTCAGATATATAAATCTTTGAAACTCCAAATCTCAGCTACAACATCAGATTCTTGCCTTACAAAAAATAATTCTATTGGTGATATCATGCTGATAAGACATATAGTATTCTCTGAGGATGTTGTTGTCAAGGCGGGTTGGCCTAAAATTAAACCTGTTCTACCAGGATTGTTTTAGTTACCATCCTTCTTGACCTGCCAACCTACTCCATTCTTTTAAATAAATTGGCTCTAAACCTTTTTTTTCTTTTTAAAGCTCTCCCAATTCTATTTTAGCTGTAGCATTTCTATCACCTTATCTATGTCTCATCCCCAGCTCTTGAGTCTCATATCTTTCTTAGCAGATAATTGGATGTTTATTAGGTCTAAAGTGACAACTAATTGTGGATGTTTATTTTTTCCATGGTTGGTTGTTTTTTTTTTGTTTTTGTTTTTTTTTAGTAGTAATATAACACAAACTTCCTGCTGCAGTTTGAAACTTTAATGAGTACTTGGAGTTGAGCAAGGGACACAGAACTCCCATCAAACTCTAGATTCTAAGCAGACTTGACCTTCTCTGTGACAGCACTCACAGCTCATGAAAAAGCATAACTCTCAGGCTGAGCAAATAACCAAAAGGGCACACACAAAGAATTTTTGGACATCAAAAGGCTTTTACAAGTCAATGGTTAATTCTACTTTAGGAGTAGAGTAGGATAAATGAAAGAAAATCAAGGACCTAATTATCTGAGATCAATGAATCCTTCAATTTCTGATCATGATTTTCACTAAATCTAAATAGAAGACATCTTTTGCTTTCTCCAAGAATCACTTCCCCTTCTATTTTCATGGAATTCATGTAGTTATATGGTTTGATTTGATAGCATAGGGTTTCATTTTAATCACAATACATAGCAAAGAGTTCAGGAAAGAAGGTGATGGAGATGTTCATAAAGAGAAAGTGACTAGAAATCTGACCTGTAGCTTATAGGATGTGGGGGACCCTTATAGGCTGGAAAGAGGAGACCCAAATATCAAGCACCACCTTATATTTTTTTCCTTGCCTTGCTCTATAGACCAAGAACTGCTATCCTCCTAATTTCTGACAATGGTTAAAGCACTGGGTACTTTGAGTTCCTTAAGGGTGAAGGGAAAAGTTGTATATATGTATGTATATGTATGTATGTGCATGCATGCGTGTGTGCATGTGTATATATGCATGTATGAAAATATGTGCATATATGCATATATTTTATATACACACATGTATATATATTTATATATACCTATATATGTAGCTTTATAGATATATACATATACACACATGTATAGATGAAATATAAATACAAATATGACAAGTGAAGGAATCTGAGGCCAAATTCAATGAAAAAGAACTATACTGAGTCTAATAACTACAGTCCTATGCTCTATTCTGTCGGTAACTGCTGGTAGGATTTCCTCTTTAAATCTTAGTTTTTGTGTCTATAAAATGTACATTCATGAGTCTAAGTTTCAATCATTATATAATCAATTTTATATAATCTCTAAGAAAAAAATTAAAAAATTAAAAAAGTGGTGTCTTTTATCTTATTCACTCATTCCAAAAAAGTTTATCCTTTGTCACAAGGAAGACCAGACAAATGAATGGTTTACCTTAGCTCTCACCACCAGTGGAAAAACCATTTAAATATACAGAGGGCATACCATGAATACTCAAATAAATACTTGTGGATTTATCGATGGGAACTATGAAATAACACTACCTCCAATATCTACGTCATAAGTTTGTATTATAATAGAGGACTTATTATAACAAAGACCGTCTAATGATTCCAGGACCTGTGCCCTTGGGCAAGACAAGATAGATGCATTATCCTGCATTCTACCCTCAAGTAACTCATGTTATAGTGTTTCTATGATGTACTTATGTTAACTGTGAATGTCTTCCAAAAAATCAAGTCAGTAGTCAGTCAATGAGCATTTATTAATAACCTTCTATGAGCCAGGCATTGTGGTAAGCAAAGAGGATACAAAAAAAGACAAAAATATAGTCCCTGCTCTCAAGAAAGTCAGTCTAATGGAGAGACAACATGCAAATAACTATGTACAAGCAAGATATTTACAGGATAAAATTAGAGATGGTTTCTGAGGATAGGTATTAAGAATAAGAAGGACAAGGAAGGAGTTTTTGCAGAAAGTGGGATTTTAGCAGACTCTTGACGTAAGCCCAGAGCTAGAGATGAGGAAGGAGAGCATTCTAGGCATTGAAGGTAGCCAGTAAAAATGGTCAGAGACAGGAGATGGAGTAGGATATGTGAGGAACAACGAGGAAGCCAACAGACCATAAGAAAATTGTTGTTAGATAGAACTAGACTACTATCTTGCTCCCATCCTTATTTATGTAAATGCACAGACGTTTTCTCATTCCTATTCCCACTGTACCTCTCTGTAATTTACAGTTATAGAAAGTTATCCAAGGCTCAGAGGGGTTAAGGAATCTGTCCTTGGTTATTCAGAGGATGTCAGAGGAGAAATTTGAACTCAAGTCTTCCTTACTCCAGTCCAACACTTTATTATGCCAAACTAACTCTCAAGGCCTGGGATATACAAAAACAATTGTTTTCCTGATTGGAATATCTGGACTTCTGAAGCTCTGTACGCAAAGTGGTATGGTAGATGAAGCAGAGGGCATAGAATCAGGAAGATTTAGGTTCTAATACCTCCTCAGGTACTTATAAGCTGTGTGGCCCTGGGCAAGTCAGTTAAAATCGAAATAATGCCACTTATTTCAAGAGTTGTAAGGATTAAGCAAAATAATATTGCTAAATCAATTTCCAAGCCATTAAGTGTTATATAAATGTTATATTATATATATGTATATATATAGTTTTGCTACATATATATAAACAAATATATTGACATATACAAATATATGATATATATGTATAATGTGTTTCTTCACCTTTTAGGCTCTGAATTTTTTTTGGCTTTGTCTTTTATTAAAATTCTCTAACTCAGATTATAATAATATTTCACCTGTTTGGAACTCAGCTGCCAAAATGTCATCTATCAAAAAGATTAAGAAGCAAGCAAAAGAAAATTGGAGATCAGAGGAATTTGTATTGTCCATTTTGGCCTTTAATCACAGTACACAGCTTTAAAAATAAATGCCATGATATGTTTACACTAAAACTCACTCACTTGAATTAAAGGGCAGTGCCCAGGCCTTCAAGCCCCTTTTCCTAGTTTCTAAGTCCAAAGAAGATTAGAAATAAGAAATTAGAGAGGACAAAAGAACTACAATAGGCAGTATTCTAAAGTAACTAAAAGAGAAAAAAATCTCAAAAAGGTCAGCTGTCTGGGACTATTTAACCTAAAAGCAAACAGGCTTATATATTTCTTTTTTCAAATTAAAATCTATTTTTTCAATTATTAAATTTAGCTCTACATATTTTAATAGTTCCTAAGATGCTGTTTTTAAAAAAGAGTATAAAAGATTTTAGAAAGATTTCCATCTAAAATGATTGAATGTTTTTAAACTAAAACTAAAGGTGGTTAAGCTCTTAGCTAACTAGCAAACTCATCTACCCAGAATTACTTATTTCCCAGGATCATATAACCTTGCTCAGAATATGTCAATGGCTCTCCATTGTTTCAAGAGTAAAAATCCATATTCCTCAGCCAATCACTCATGGCTCTCCATGATCTGATCTTAACTTACCCTCCCCATCTTATATCACCTATGGAAGTTCAACCAAGTATTTTACCATTAGAGGCAATAGTAACATACATTACAAAGAATTATCTACCTCAAGCAAAAAAGAGTATTGAAGAAATCTTGTTTATTGATGAATATTTAAGAATTAGATAATGTATCTACTTATAGAACCTTTCCCTGGCTAGTGTTGAGGCAGATAGGTGGCACAGTGTACACAATGCTGGGACTAGAGCCAGCAGGACATGAGTTCAAATCCAGCCTCAGACACCTAGCTATGTGACCCTAAGCAAGTCACTTAACCTCTGCTTGCCTCAGTTGCCTCAACTGTAAAATGGGGATAATAACAGCATCTCCCTTCCAGAGTTATTATGAGGACCAAATGAGATAATAATTGAAAAGTGCTTAACACAGTACCTAGCACCTACATAGTAAACACTATATAAATTTTAGCTATTGTCATTACCTCACTGGGATGTTATAAGGATAAAATGAGATAACATAAAGTGCTTAGTACAGTGCCTGTCACATAGTAGGTGCTATATGAATGCAGATTCTTCTAAGAACAAAGAAATGTCATGTTGCCTCAGACTAATGCTCCATTTAACCCAAGATTTGATCAGCAGCTTTAAGAAAGCTTGACAGTTATCCTTTTTTAATGGCATGCACAAAAATCACAGAATTTCACAGTTGGCAGGGATCCCCGGAAACATCTAGTCTAAACTGTATCTGAAAAATAATTTCTTCTCCAATACAACAGACAATTAAGTAGTCATCCAGCCTCTAATGTTTCTCTAATGTTCTTCATACATATCCAATAAGGGCTTCCCTAATCAGCCCATTCCACTTTTTGGATAACTCTTTTGGAATGATTTCTTTACATTAAGCCTTAATTTACCTTTTCTTGAAACTTCCAATCATTGTTCCCTTTTCTGTCTTCTGGTCAAGTGGTGTAATTCTAATCCCTCTTCTAAGCTAAACATCCACTTTCACTTAACTAGTTATCACATGACATGAACTTAAAGGCCTTTCTTTACTATCTTGCTTGCCAATTTTCATTAGATGTTCCTGAACCCACGTTCAACCCATGTCTACCCCCATCTTTCCCAAAATGTGGCACCCAGAATTTAGATAACAGAATGGTATTCTCAAAGGCCAGGAAAATATCCTCCAAACACTCATTACTTCTTAATTTGTCGTTAATAGATCTATTATCCATGAATTAATCTGAACAGTCATTGCGTATTTGTATTGACTTCCTGGGGGAACACATTCCATACGCTGACTATGTCTTTTCTTTTAACTTTAAGAATGACTTGCAGAAAGAAGCTAAATATTTATTCTGGAGGCCTACAGTGCACCTGGAGCTTAATATCACACTGTTCCCATACTCTTGCTGGTTCTCAAAGGACATGCCGGTCTTGTTGATGTTTCTGTTTTTTCTTTTGTACACATGTCCAGAATGCTGCCTGGGTAGCAGAAGGGAATGGCAGTTTCATTTTTATTCTGCCAACAAAGCCGTCAGTAAGGTACTCGGATTCGCTGCATCCACCTGGTGCAGCAGTATCTTTATCAGCCTCATATGGTCCAGAGTTCTGGGCTGAATTTGTCAGGCAGTCCAACATCTCTTGAATACTTTCTATATCTGTACGTCAGGAGTACAGTTACCAGCAGGCAGGAGCAGTAGTTTTGGAATGTACAAGTTTCTCACTGATCAAATAAGACAGATGATCCTCATAGATTCTTGAGTTTTTGAATGTTTCCCATACATAAGTGGATTCCAACACCACCATCTAGGTTCTTAGTTGCATCCTCAAGCATAGCTGCATAAAAGAGATTAAGCCTTGTATAGTCTGTTCCATCGATCTACTTTTCTATTTTTTTAACCAGAAATTAAATAGTTTTTGTTGATTACAGCTTTACAATGCATTTGAGGTCTGGAAGTGCTATTGACCCCTTTACTCCTATCTTTATTCATCATTTCCCTTGATAATCTAGATCTTCTGTTCTTCAAAATGAGCTATGTTTTGTCTAGTTCTATAAAGTATGGCTCTGGTGCTAAATTAGCATGGCACTAAATGTATAAATTCATTTTGGTAGCGTTGCTGTTTTATTAAGTGGGTGTGGCCCAACTATGAACACTGCCTATCCCTCCAGTTATTTGAGTCGCTTGCAGAGAAGATGTGGAACTATATGGGTAGAGGGAATTTTCTCCCCAGGAGTTGCCTATACCAAGGCAATCACAGGCCCAGGCCCTACCCTATCTATACAGGAATTAAGTGTGTTTTGGTAGATGCAATCCTAGATATTTTATGAAATTTGAAGTTATTTAGAATTGTGCTTTTAATTTTATAGTAAAAAAATCACTTTTTACTCTAAGTTATTGTTACATAAAAATGATATTTATTCTTTGGATTTATTTTGTATCCTGAAAGTTTTTGAAACTATTTAGAGTCTCAATTAGTATCTTTCTTGCTCCTCTAGATTTTTTCTGAGTAAACCATCAAATCATCAGCAAAAAGGGATAGTTCTTTCTCCTCTTTGCCTATCTTTATGCCTTTCATTTCTTTCTTTTATCTTTTTTGCTATTGTTCATATTTCTAGACCGTATTAAATACTATTAGTAAAAGGATCAGGCAGCTAGGTACACAGTGGAAAAAGCTCCAGGACTGGAGTCAGGAAAACTCATCTTCCTAAGTCCAAATCTGACCTCAGATACTTACTGGCACTGTGACTCTGGGTAAGTCACTTAACCTTGTTTGCCCCAGTTCTTCTCTGTAAAATGAGCTGGAGAAGGAAATGGCAAACCCCAGTATCTTTGCCAAGAAAACCTCAAATGAGGTCATAAAGAGATGAACACAACTGAACAAAAACAACAACAAGGGAGTAGATATATTTTTGCCTCACTCCTATAATTGGGAATGCTTCTAATGTTTCCCCATTGCATATAATGCTAGTTTTTGGTATTAGATGCTTTTTTTATCATATTATAAAGAAGAATCTTCTATGTCTATATTTTGTCTAATATAAATTAATGTTATACTTTATACTTTATCAAAGGCTTTTTTGCACTTATAGACATAATCGTGGTTTTTGAAATGTTTTTGTTTTTAATATGCTAAATTATGTTGTTTCTTTAATATTTGAACTCAATTATCTCACTGATGATAAACCCTCAAACATAAATCACCTAGAAAATAAGTCTCTACTTGACAAAAACTGTTGGTAAAACTAAAAAGAGTCGTGCAACGTTAAAAATAGTGTTATACTACATTCCACAATAAACTCAAAACGGCTATGTGAACTCAATATTAAAAGTTATATCATTTTAAAAAATAGAAGAAAGCCAGATCAGGTACCTTTCACAGCTATGGCTGGGGGATAAATTTTTAACCAAAGAAAGGTTAGAAATAATTACAAAAGATAAAATGATCATTTTATGGTTACATGAAATTGAAGCTTTTTCATGAATAAAATTAATGCAATTAGAATAAGAAGGGAGATGATTGACTGGGGAAAATCTTTGCATCAAATTTCTCTTATGAAAGTCGGATACCCAAAATATACTACACACCTACACAGCCACAACCCCACAGCTAATAAGTTTCTGATACAGAATTTGAATTCAGGTCTTCCTGATTCCAAGTCCAATCCATTATAGCACACCACCTCTAATATTTGGGAGTTATCTACATAGGAATGGTATTTCAAACAATAGAACTGAATGAAAATTACCAAAGGAGAGAGAGTTTAAAGAAGAAAAACTCCTACAAAAGACTCTTAAAGGTCAACCCATTAAAAGTAGGGATGTACTATAGCCAGCTAGAGCTCAGTGAGAGCATTTTCATCTTGGAAACAAGGAAATCTACATATCAGGGTTTGATTTAATGTTCTGTTGATTGTCTAGGATTAAGAAAATGATGGAGAAAATGTTAATAGTGCAAATTAAACTTAAAAGTGTTGTATATGCATTTTCCCTCAAGGAGCCAGTTGTAAAATACTTAAAAGCACACCACTGATTAAAAGGTCAAGAAGAATATGAAGAGCAAATTAAGTGGACAGAGAAGGTCCTCTTACAAAAGAACCAAGAGAGGATACTGTCCTTCAAGCCAAAGGAGGAGAGACAATCCAATAGGAAGGGAGGGTCAACAAGGTCCTAAGCTGTAGTGTCCAACAAGGATGAGGACTGATAAAAGTCCACTGATTTAATTATTAGATCTTTATGGATGACTTTAGAGGCAATGATTCCAATAGAATGGAAATGACAGAAATTTAAACAAAGGTCTAAGACAGTAAGTAATGAGGAAGTAAAAGTTGTCTTATTTTGTTTTGTTTTTCATTTCAAGAAGCTCACTGGTAAAGGGAAGGAGAGAGAATTAATGGTAGCTAAATGGATTGGAAGGGTCAAGGGAAGTTTTGCTGTCATTATGTTGTTTTTAAGAATTGAGACGGGGCAGCTACATTGCACAGTGGATAGAGCACCGGCCCTGGAGTCAGGAGGACCTGAGTTCAAATCTGGCCTCAGACACATAATGCTCACTAGCTGTGTGATCCTGGATAAGTCACTTAACCCTGATTGCCTTGCAAAAAAATGTGAGGAGACCTGACCATTTTTATAGGCAGTTCAGAAGAATTCAATAGTGAGTAATAGGTTAAAGGTACATGAGAGACAAGGGTTATTTACTGAAGCAAGGTCCTGGAGGAAGGAAGAGGGAATGGAGTCAAGGGAAATAGGATTACTCTTAGCAAGTAGTAAAAATAATTCTTTAATTATGACTAGAGGAAGGAAAACGATGATAATGCTTAGAAAGTTTGAGGAAAAGTATGGGGGCTAAGAAAGGTCATGTTGGGAATTCACAGGGAATCACTTATTGGAGATATTTTTGATGGGATTCCTGGTTAGGTAAATGATGGTTATAAGGCTTTTAAAGCCCCTTCCAACTTTCAGATCCTGAAATTGTATGTATGTTCACAATTTCCTCAGGGAATTAGGGGATCTGGTCATCTGCTATAAGCATAGGGAAGGAGTATGCAATGAATGCAGAAAGGAGAAAAAGAAAAGTTTGGAATGGTTGCTTTGGGCAATGAGATAAGGAGCCAATAAGGTTAGGATTGCAGGACTGTCAAACAGAAGTGAGATTAAAGAAAGAAAAATGCCACATAGTAATTCCAGCACTGTGCCTGGAGTCAGGAAGACTCAACTTTGTGAGTTAAAATCCAGCCTCAGACACTTAATAGCTATGTGACTCTAAGCAAGTCACTTAACCCTGTTTGCCTCAATTCCTCATCTGCAAAATGAGCAGGAGAAGGAAATGGCAAACCACTCCATTATCTTTGCCGAGAAAACCCCAAATGCGGTCATGAAATGTCAAACATGACTGAAACGACTGAACAACAACAAGTCAGTCAGGAAAGACTCTACTTGGAATTCTGTCAGCGTAAGTGATCTGTGAAATGCTTCAGAGCTTACTATACTCACCTCCCCTACCCCTCATTGCAGTTGATTCCAGGGTTGCATTACTTATCACAGTACCTTTGACATTATAGATGATGCTTAATAAATGCGATTTGACTGACTACCTCAATCCTTAGTTTTTTTACTCAACATATGCTCTATCCCTAAAAGAATGTATCTAATTGAATGACTTCAAATATTATTTCTCTAAAAGCAATTGCCAAGTCTCACTTATTCATATTTGACTTTTCAGTTACCCCCCACTCTCACTTAAAAGACTGATCATAGCACATATTCAGGGGTGTACTATAAATGTTTAACAACAGGATCTCTGGAAAAATATGTACAACACATCTTTAAGGTTAATCTTCATTATTAATATTTTCTCCATCATTTTCTTAAATCTAGACAATCAACAAAACAATAAATCAAGCCCCGATTTGCAGTTTGATTATTTCTAAGGTGTAAATGTTTATGTTGAAAAGTTGACAATTGGCTCGTGGACATCACTGTACACATTCATTTTTTTACATAAAAAGAAATTAAACTTAATATTGATTTTGAAATTTCCTTGGTGTCCTGGAGATACAGAGAGACACTCCAAAGGACATATGAGGTCAAAACTAGAAGTTGCTGTTTCTAGCAACTTTCAAAGGTGGAAAGAATTCCACCAATGTATATAGGTTAATCACACATGTTAAGCAGTTAATAAAGTGCTGGTGATGATGATAATGATGATGATAATTGTTGAAAATCTACCATATAAGAGTATCAAGTCCACTCTAGCTTTCTTTAACTCAATTCCAAAGGAAGAGCAAAACTAGACCTGATGGCCTGGCAACTTACCTTTTCTAACAGAGCAAAAAGTGGACATTTAATTATCTATGCAGGAATTTGAAGAAATATTGGGAATCCTGAGAAATTGCACCTCTATAATTGGCATCTGCATTGAGTTTATCCAATTTATATTATTGTGACAAGCACTGGGATACAAAGTAGTTTTCACATGGTCCTTGCCCACAAAAAAGGTGACAGTCTAGTTTGGGGAGGAAAAAAATGTGTATATGAAACAATTAAATAAAAATGCTTTAGAATGTTTTAAGTGCCAAATCAAATATAGAAACAAATGTTCTTGATGTTCAAAAAAGGGAGAGGTATCTGAGGGCTGCAGGCTTAAGAAAGGTGTTAGG